GACGCCATGATCCTCCGCCGCCCCAGCCCGGAGCGCCCGGCCACTCCGCCGCCTCGGACCGCACTGAGCTCGAGACGCCGCCCGGAGCGCACCAAAAAAAGAAGAAAAAAAAAAACACGCCTCACCCGAACTTGATGGTTCCGCTCAGCCGGGGCCAAAAAGGGGGGAGAGAGAGAGAAAAACACACAGAGAGAGAGAGAGACAGCGAAACAGGCCCAACCCGGCCCGCAAAGCCCGCCTTCTTCCCCTCCGCTACGCCACTAAGGAGAGGGCCTTCGGAAGCCCCCTCGCGTCGATTGGGTGCCTGACGTGCCCATCAATGTCACAAAGGAGGTGGGAGGGACCCAGACGCCTCTTCCCCCTCCGCCTCCCTTCGCCATCAAGGTTGGTTACGCGGCCAAAAGGAGAGGGAGGGAGAAAAGGGGAGGAATGGGAGGAGGAAAGAACGGTCTGCGCAAGCGCAGGAGGTGGGAGGGGGAGGTGTGCGGCGCGCCTATGGCTGTCAGTGGCTTCCCTCCGCCCGCATGCGCAGTGGGTCCTCTTGTCGGAACTGCTCCAGCTGGCTTGGCCCCCCCATGCTTTTTGCAACATGTGATTTTTTAGGGTCCTTTCTTTCTTTCTTTTTTAAGAGCCGGGATCCCTAAAAGCGGGCGAGGGTTTGGGAAGAAGGATACTTTGCAAGCCAACGGATGCAGTTCCGTCCTTTGGAATTGCAGCATGTTGATGTTTTATAATCAGAAATGGAGTGGGAAAATACTGGGAAAGGGGCGAGATTTTTTTTTTTTGAGTCCTCTTTGTCAGGCTAGGGGCAAGAGAGAGGAGATTTTGCAACGATCTCCCCAGTTAAATGTTGAAGATCTAAGCGGAGCAGACGTCGCCTTTGCGATATTCCAGGTCTCTGCTTTTGACATGACCTAGCTTTGATTTTTAGCCCTGTTTGTGCACCATGTCTTTTTCTTCCATTCCAATGATTTCTACACATTTCTCAAGGACAGGCTCCTGATGTTCAGTTGCAAAAGGCAGAAAAAGGATAGCAATCCCCCCCCATCACTAAAACACTAAATCAATTGCAAATGGCTAAACAACGAATGGGTTGTTTTTCTATTAGACATACCGCCGCCTCCTCCATGTAAGATTAGTTCCTTAAAATATGGCACATGGTGGTAATGACAGAAGACTGTGGCCGAGAAGAACATACAATGCAGAAGCAGCTCATGTGAACCAGCAATTTTTAAAAAATGAATAAAAAAACCCATGAAAATTTACAAAACACGCTTCTCTGCAGTAGGCACACGCTTTAAAGACTGTTGACAATTCTGTATATTTCTTGTGAATACCACCGCGCTTCCCCAGAGTTTGTGAAATTTAATTCCCAGAATATTCCAGCCTGTGCATTCAGGTCATGCTAGGTCAGGGATGCAGACACTGACAGCCCTGAAAATTAACTCTTTTCACATTGTGTATTTTAAAAACATTCCTAAGTTTTATCACCTTCATTTCTTGTTCTCACATGTGATCCATCCGGTCACTTCTCGCAATGAGCCTGATTGCTTGGTAGCTTAGTGGCTGAGGCATCCGGCTGTGGAGGCAGAGACTGCGAGTCCAGTTCCCTACTGCAGTGGTCCCCAACCTTGGGCCTCCAAATGTTCTTGGACTACAACTCCCAGAAGTCTTCACCAACACCTCTGCTGGACAGGATTTCTGGGAGCTGAAGTCCAAGAACATCTGGAGGCCCAAGGTTGGGAAACACTGCCCTACTGGGTCTGAATCCGGAGCAGCAGAGATGAAAAACTATGACTTTAGCGTAGGGACTCTGGGCTTACTCACATTTCCCTATTTATCATGTGATCAAGGGGGGAGAACATGAACCAGCCCTCCCGAAACCCGTAGCATTTTTTGATTTTTTTTTCCAGTATAGTTGCACCCTAACACACCAACATCTGTGAAAAAAATGTATGTATTTATTTATTTATTGACTTTTTATATTGCCCATGTCCTAAAATATCATTTAATCATTAAACAGCAATAGAACAGCAAATAAAAGAGGACTGCTCCTTTCTTCACTATGCGTTACGGTGCTTTCATTGTTCACTGCTACAGAGGATAGCACATACACTATCAAAATGTTTGTTGGTTGTTGAGGGTTTTTCGGGCTCCTTGGCCGTGTTCTGAAGGTTGTTCTTCCTAACGTTTCGCCAGTCGCTGTGGCCATGGGCACCTTCAGAGGACAGACATATGGAAAGCGTTGTACAGCTTCATAATCAGAACTTATAAATTCCAAAGGTACATATGGAAAGCGGTGTACAGCTCATAATCAGAACTTATAAATTCCAAAGGTGACGGTTGGCATTTGATAAATCAGCGGTAAACATGAATGTTTTTACTCCAGATTTAGGTTGCAAGGAAGGGGGTCCTAAGAGTGATGGGAAAAATTAGATCTCCCTCTCTGGTCATGGAAAAAAAGAGTATTCGGGGTAGAAAAGGGGGCTACCCCATCTCGTGAACCTCTCTGTTGCAGGTAACGTACATCACAATGTCACTTATCATGTTGCAGTTGCAGGTGCTGTGTGCAGATAGAGAAAGTGGTGTTGGGAGCCATCCAGTTATCCTCACATAACACTTTATTAGAATGAAATGCATATTTGGTGAAGGGAGAATATACATAGGGACAGACCAAATGTTCAGGAGATATTCCCCAAACACTCAGAGCCTGTCTGAGGCACCAAAGTCTTGGGCAGTGGATGCTGAGCAGTGCTGCCCCAGGGTACTGGGCTGCCTGAGACAAAGGAGAAGATCGTTGCTAACGGCAGTGGCAGCCCAGTCTGATTTAAGCCTGGCTCAAAAACAAAGGTCCGCATAGTCAAAGCTATGGTTTTTCCAGTAGCGATGTATGGAAGTGAGAGCTGGACCATATTTATTTATATTTATTTATTTCTTTATTCAATTTTTACCCCGCCTCTCTAGACAACGTCTACTCGGGGCGGCTTACAAAGATTAAAACACATTAAAACAACATAAAATACCGAGCATAAAGAAGGCTAACTGCCGAAGAATGGATGCTTTTGAATTGCGGTGCTGGAGGAGGCTCTTGAGAGTCCCCTGGACTGCAAGGAGAACAAACCTATCCATTCTGAAGGAAATCAACCCTGAGTGTGCTCACTGGAAGGACAGATCCTGAAGCTGAGGCTCCAATACTTTAGCCATCTCATGAGAAGAGAAGACTCCTTGGAAAAGACGCTGATGTTGGGAAAGAGTGAAGGCAAGAGGAGAAGGGGACGACGGAGGACGAGATGGGTGGACAGGGTCACCGAAGAGACCAACATGAATTTGACCCAACTCCGGGAGGCGGTGGGAGACAGGAGGGCCTGCCGTGCTCTGGTCCATGGGGTCACAAACAATCGGACACAACTTGACAACTAAACAACAACAACAAACTCTGCCTCTTCTGTTTGGATCGGACAAAGGCTGTGTGGTTTTTTATGAGCTTGCAAGTAAAATCTCAGATAGCGAGCGATGCAAGGAGCAAAATGACTCTGGGTGTAACAAGTCGTCCCTTGTTCCTTTCTAGCGTTCCTGTGATGTGGGCATTTCAAGACATTTTGATGAAATATTTCCAGTTTCATACCATTCTTTAATTATTTCTAGTCAGCAGAGGACAGGCATATTCCTTGGTTTCATGTTGTGCTTTTTCTGAAGGAATGTGTCCAAGGTGCAATAGGAGAATTGGCCATCAGAGGGAACCAGAAGCACTTTGTCTGTGTTTTTCTGCACAGTGCGTTTCCTTTCAAATGTAATCATGTTCTGATCTCAGTTTTTCCCCCTTCCCCATGCATGCTTGAATCTGCTTGTTGGTGCTAGCATTTCCTCATCACCTTCCGAGGACTGTTTCTTGAACGTCCACCATTCAAATAGTCATCCACGTTGGTCCCCTGTGAAGAAATAAATAGCTTTGCTATTTAGACAACTCTCCGTTCAGAAAAAAGTGGCTGCAATCCACGAAAACCTCCAGATGCCGCTGAAGGACAGATAGCTGGCGACACAGCCGTACCTAGAGACTTTTCTTATTTCAGACGATCACACCCAGATTCCCCAGCCAGTTTGGGATTTCTGGAATTGACAGTCCAAAAAAGAAAAAAAGCACATTGAATACCTCTGCTTTTCATATGGGTCTGCAGCCCATGAAATCTCATCGCTCAGAAACTCTTGTTAATTTCTATGATGCTACAAGGCGCTCAAGTTTCAGAGACACCCTTGAATAGTTAGAGAAGGCCAGCCAGCCCTTTTTCCAGGGTGAGCCACCTGCTTCCTGAGCTTCAACCTCTGCCCGTGGAGGCAATCCCATTGCTTTACCGTTGGGAGTTTTAACAACCTCACATGCTGCCTGGAGAAGGTGGGTTTGGGGGGGGAGACTGTCAATCTGTCCAGCACTAACCAATTCCTTCCTCCTGCTTCTGAATTCAGAGAGAGCCCCGCCTCTCTGCTCGTTGCTTTCCCCCTCTCTGGTCTGTTGTTGCAAGCGATGTTTGTCAGTTTGCAGTTCGATCTGTTGGACTGTAATGAGACCTTTTATTCTTTCTCCTACCAAGGTCTTAGAGGTGATGTATTAAGGCTGTAAGTGCCAGCTGATGAAAAAAAAAGGGGTGGATTAATCTGAGGACCTTGAAGCTATTCTGCTCTATGAATCCCTATGCCTCTGCTGAGCAGCTAGAGGAACTTCATCAACAATTCCCTAACCAATTGTTCCCAGCCCTTACCATAAGGCTGATGGCACAGACAGCCATTTCTGGACATGCTCATCCCACGGAGGCTACCCAGGTCCCCCATCCAGACCTCTCCTCTCTTCGTGCTCTTTGCTGTGTTTTCCATCCTGGTTGCCGTGTTCCGCATTCCGATCCCGGTACCTTCCCCTTTCTTAGCTAGGCCACGGCCAATCGGCACGCAGGGCGTGGCGCCCAAGCATTCTGGACCCTCGGAAGGGCTTTCCCTTTCAGGGGGCTGGCGGTGGCTCCCTCACCTGGGCCGATTCTCCTCCTCTGAAGACGAGCTTCCAACGGCCAGCTCTCGAACCGCTGTAGTGGAGAACAGAGAGGTGGTCCTTCCTGGAGAGTTGCCCAGTGGCTTAAGTCTTCATATTCCACAAACATTGAGGTAAAACATGGGGGGGGGGAAGAGGGAAGAGACCCATAGTTTCCCCAAACTGCATCCTGGGGGGGCATTACGGTTCTTCAGACACTTGCTAAGGTTTCTCCAACACGGAGACCAGACACCCTAGTGGCTGCGCTTTCCCAAACCACTGATCTTCTCTCTTCCCAAGCTACCGTCTAAAAGAGACAGTGAGGTGGATTCCAAAACATGGAGGAAGGTTGCTTGTTTGGGATGACTCAACTCCCAGAACCCTTGAGCCAGCAATCCTTCATGGCTGTTGTGCAGCATCATGGGAATTAGACTTCTGCTCCATGCAGAATTAAAGTCTTTCCTCGCCTGCGAGGAGAGAAGTCTATGAAAACTCTTCGAGTCACTTGTCCTGAAAACTGGCAGGTACGAAGAGGGCTCCCGGACCAGGTCCTCCGCTTTTCAGTCAAAGGACTCTCACCTTCGCAGGCCATGTCTTACTCAAGAGAAGGTTTACGGAGTAGTCAGTGACCATGGAATCTACTTTTTGGCCCTAAGAAATAAAGAAGGAGCAACCGCCGGATCCGTCCCATTGCTGAGTCCCTTTCTTTCAGTTGCTGGTCCCAGAACTCTCTCATCAGTCAGGATGATAACCTCCATAGGACTTTTAAGGCATGCAAGATGGCCAGGGAGTGATCATTCCCCTCCCCCGACCCACTTCCATGAGTGTCCAGGGCCACACAAGGACTTGAACCCAGGACTTCCCACGCAAGATGGCCAGGGAGTGATCATTCCCCCTCCACCCCACTTCCATGTGTCCAGGGTCACACAAGGACTTGAACCCAGGACTTCCCAAGTCCTGGTAGGACACTCTTATCGGCACACCACACTGCTTCTCACGGGGTGGGGCTGGCCACTTTCACACCTCTAGAGACATCAACCATCATTCCGTTGGTGTTTGTGAAAGGTTTGCATACCTTCCCACAGCTAATTGTCGCTAACTGGCAGGTTATCAGAGCCGATCTTGATCATGTGCTTGGTCACCAAACGTTATTGTGCAACTAGGTCATGTCCAGCCCCTTACCAGTGGGCCTTATCAATTACAGTAGTTGCAAGTTATGCAACCTTCTTGCACAAATACCAAGAGGATTCCCGGGTGATCAACCTCAATGCCTTGGAATCCCTCTGTGGCTTTCAACCTTGGGTCCCCAGACGTTCTTGGACTACAACTCCCAGAAATCCTGGGCAGCCCGGTTAATGGTGAAGGCTTCTGGGAGTTTTAGTCCAAGAACATCTGGGGAAAGACATTTAGAGCTTGGCTGCTTTTGGGGAAGGGGGAGGAGGAGGAGGCAGCACTGAAAATCCCAGCCAGACAGGGCATTCAAGCCCAAGGGTGGCATGGGCGAATAATAACAATAATGCCATTCACATTCACAGTCTTGGCTCTTCTGAGAAACAGGAAGAAGGCTTCATTTTCATTCAAATTCCAGTTCATCTTATGCATTGTGTTTCTATTTTTAAATCCTGCAGGGAAACTTGATCCAGGGAAGGAGATGTTTGGCAAACTAATCCACACAGCCCTCTCTGCAGATGACTGGGATATTAAGAGGATACTCTCAAGTAAGCCTTTTTTTAAAAACTAGGGGGGAAAATAACCTCCAGACTTGTAGGATGCAAGGAATACCTGTGCCTGCAAACCGACATGACTTTCAGATGACTCCTTGTCCCCCACCCTCTAGTATCCTGGGAGCTGTAGTTTGGCGCAAATCCATTTTCTGTGCAACAGATTGCTGAGATTTCATGCTGAATTGCAGGTTTCCTTAAAAGAGAAACTATTTGCATTAATCAGGTTTCTGCCTGCGCTATTGCAGTGTACAAAGTGGAGAAAATGAAGGCTAATTTCACAACACTCACTGATCGATCAATTTTATTTGCACGTCAGGCTTCTAATTGTTCTGAATGTCATCTTTCGAATGGTAGTTCCAGTTTACCACTCAGATAAGAAGCATGGACATTTAAAGTGAATTGGATAGTTGCTTGAAATTGATTAATTGCTTGAAACCAGACAATAAATCAACAAAAAGGTGATCTGTAGGCCTCAGAAAGTGTCCAGATCCTTTGTGGGGGCAAATTATTAATTTATTTATTTATTTAAAATATTTCTATCCTGCCTTTCTCTGCAAAAGGACTCAAAGCAGCCCATAATGCCATCAAATGATGTAAGCCTCACTTCTGGCTTTGCTAGATCAATCCATTAGTTTACACAGATTTGCATATTAACAATATATGAGTAGCTCCAGTGATTTTTTTTAAAGACACAGATGGCTGTTCCATTTATAACAAGAACTCAATTTTTCCCTCAGATCTAATAAGGATCTAATAAGATCTAATACATGTAATACCTTAAATGTATTCATTTTCTTGCTCTGTTGTAGTAAAAATCCAGAATCTGTGCAACTTCATGCTCAAGATTGGGTTCAATACGTTAGGCCCGTAAACCAACATGTAATAATGAACGCTTTTTGAACTTAGCCCCTCTTGCTTCCAAGGAAACATGATACAGATTGGGCCAATGGATCTACTGATTAAAATGTTCCTAAGCACAAACATAACTAAAATCCCTGGTTGAATACCTTAGCACTTTAAATTCTACACAGGGCGGGCTTCTGAATATTCGGCAGAAAAATATAGCAAGCAAAGAGGCAATTAGAAAACGTAAGGGGTGCTGAGTTGAGCCGAGGAGGGGTGGGGGCTTAGGATTTCAGTTTAAATCTGGTTTAACACTTTAAATCTGGTTTCCTGTACTGGGGTAGACTTTGGTGATCTCTGCAGTTTTGTTATCCTGGACAACAGAATTAATGTGCTCCATTTCCCGGGAAATTGGTGGATCCAAATAGTTTCCCAGCATCTTTTGGGGGAAGGTTCCTGTCCCAGCTGCTTCCCTGTGAGCAGACAATATAGGATCTGAGTAAAACCTATAGGAGAACGACCCCTTCCTCGCCCACCTTACTCAATGTTTCTCAGCTCTTTTTTCATGCCCCCAAGCATAGAGCCTCAGAGTATACCCTTGATCACATCAGCCCCACCCCACCCCTGATCTCCCAGTAAATTTCCATCCTACACAGAACAATGGGCCAGGTGGGGAGCCAGCCCTCCTGCTTTGTCTTCCGGAGAGATGGAGCATTTAAAAAGACAACAGAGGATCTTCCCCACCTTAACATCTTATCCCAGGTTCTATTAAGATAACTTTTGTTGGCTCCATAGCCCATAGTATGCATTCATGCTAGTTCACATTTCCACCATAATGAAACTTACTAAGTCTTTCAAAATCTCAGAAGAGCCAGATTAATAGCTTTGCCCCTCTGGACATCACCTGGAAGGGAATCTCAGGTGTAGACGCACCTATGCTCCTCTTCTGAAAAGCAGAAAGCCTTCCCCTGAAAACCCTTACCTGCATGATTTCCTATAAGCAATTCTATTAAAAGTTAAGTCACATATTGAAAACTCAAACCGGCTGGCCAGTTCTACAAAAAACACACTTAGCTCTATTTCCAGATGGGTTGATTGCATCACACACACACACAACTTGATTAGGACACAATGTGTTGTTTTTTTTTTTGTCCCAAAAACTCATGCCCTAATCTATTTACTGGGTGTTATATGGTCATGCTACGTCCGCTATTTCTCCACCCCCCCAGCCATAACTCTGGCAGTTAAATTGATTGAAGGCCACCTTCTGTGGAAGGAGGACCCCAATTCCTTTGGAGCTGTAATTTAAGGAGAGATAACCCCCCCTTTTTTTTGATAGTGCAATCCTAGGCTTTTAGTTACTTCCATAGTTATTTTTTGGGGGGGCTTGCTAAACCATGCTCTCATGATTTATGGGGGAGGCTGGGGATAGTAACTAGTTACTTTTCAAAAGGGACCTTCTGAGTTCTCACCCTAACCATCACTTACGGCCCTCCTGGAACCTCTTGTGTTTGTTGGACTCCATGTCCCATCAGCCCCAGGCAGCACAGACGATTGAGAGGGAGGCTGGGAGGTGCAGTCCAGCCACATCTGGAGGGCTGCATTCTCTCTATCCAGTTTCTTCTTTCCTCCGGATCAGGTTCCCCTGCCTTCCCATCCCTCCTTCTTCAATATGGATCCCACACCCCCTAGATAACACCCCCCCACCCCAGGCAGGCTCACTGGGGGATTCTGGGAGTTGTAGTTCTCCCAACTTCCCCCCATCTCTGCAGGCCTTGACAGGGTGTTTTCCACAGATGTGCAGATTTCTGTTTATGGGGTTTGGGGAGGGAGGGCTACACAGCCGCTTGGGGAATTCTGGTGCAAGTGCCTTTTGGCTTCTCCTGGGGATCAGATTTTCCTTGTCCTCCATTGTCTCCAAACCACACCGGTCTCTGCAAAGAGCAGCAAGCATGCACAGAAGGCCCTGAAATCACTGGTGTGGCATTTCAGCAACCGCAGTGGACTTTCAGCCCCAGGCAACCTAAGGGCATGCCAAGGTATGCCCTATGGCCAACCCTTTTCTAGCCATACGCCTTCAACCTCTCCCCATTGGCCTACAGGGCCGCGGGAGTAACACATCACTTCTGGGGCCAATCCTGAGGCCATGCTCTGGTCACGGGGGACCTCGGTGTCTATGAACCCCTCCTGCAGGTCCACGGTGACCTCATCAACCCCCTATGTCACCCCTAAAGCCCCCACACACCCAGGAGGAGAGCCCTGGGTCAATTCTTGACCTTGTGTCCTGTCTCAAAGGGGTGGAGCACCTGTCAAAATTGATTTGATGGATGCTAAGTACTTATACTACTTGGGGCAATATATAAGCAGCACACTTTGCTTTTGATTTAGTCTGAGTCTTCTTAATAAGGAGGAAGAAGTAGGAATCAGCTGCAGGAATGAGCTGCACCAGATTGTAAGTGGAGGATCCTTGTTTTGAATGTTTAGCCACCTTTAAAAGGAGAGTGGAACTGGGTCAAAACCCTGGTCATATGGAGGGACCAAGGTTTTGACCAAGGGTGC